CAACCACTTCGAGTTTTTTGGTGGACTACTGCTCGGAAAATGTCTTATATTGGCTTTTGAAAATGTCATTAATCGTCATATCTCTCGCTATAAGGACTGTTTAGACCATCCATTTTATTTTCATTCCACGCATACTGGCTGCAGCAACCTAGGGTTTTTTCGTGGACGACATTTCAGCAACAGTTAGAGATAGACTTCTAAAAAGGTCACTAATTCGTATCGCATGCTTTAATGGCGTTTTATACCATTTACTTTATTCTCATTCCACGCATAGTGGCTGCAGCTACCTTGAGCTTTTTGGTGGACTACCTCTGTTAGACGGTAAGAGATAGGCCCCTGAAAAGGCCAAAAACCGTCATATCGCATGCTTTAAAAACGTTTTAGACCATCTGTTCTATTCTCATTCCACGCATAGTGGCTGTAGCTACATCGAGTTTTTTGATGGACGACATATCAGAAGCGGTTAGAGGTAGGCTGCTGAAAAGGTAATTTATCGCCGCATCGCATCATTTAAAGACGTTTTAGAACATTCGTTTTATTCCCATTCACGCATGGAGGCTGTAGCTGCCTCGAATTTTTTGGTGGACGATATCTCAGAAAAGGTTAGCGATAGATTTCTGAAAACGTCATAAATTGTCGTATCGAATGCTTAAAAGACGTTTTAGACCATCCGTTTTAGTCTCATTGCACGCAAAGAAGCTGCAGCTACCTCGTGTTCTTTGGTGGACGGCATCTCGGAAAAGGTAATATATTGGTTTCTGAAGATGTCATTAACCGTCGTATCGCAGCCTTTATAGACGGTTTAGACAATCTATCTTATTCTCATTCCACGCATAGTGGCTGTACTTACCTTTAGCTTTTAGGTGGACGACATCTCAGATACGGTTAGAGATCGACTTCTGAAAAGACAATTAATTTGTCGTATCGCATGCCTTAATGACGTATTTTACTATCGGTTTTATTCTCATTCCACGCACAGAAGCTGCAGCTACCACCAGTTTTTTGGTGGACTACGGCTCGGTAAAGGTTATATATTGGCCTCTGAAAATATCATTAATCGTCGTATCGCACGCTTTAAGGACGGTTTAGACCATCCATTGGATTCTCATTCCACGCATAGTGGTTGTAGCTACCTTGGTTTCTATGGTGGACGACCATTCAGGAACGGCTACAGAAAGGCTTCCGGAAAGGTCATAAATTGTCGTATCGCATGCTTTAATGACGTTTTATACCATGTATTTTATTCTCGTTCCACGCATAGTGGCTGCAGCTACCTTGAGTTTTTTTGGTGTACTACCTGTTTTAGACGGTAAGGGATAGGCTTCTGAAAAGGTCAAAGTTGTTGTATCTCATACTTTGATAACAGTTTAGACCATCTGTTTTATTTTCATTCCACACAAAGAGGCTGTAGACGTTTTAGACTATCCATTTTATTCTCATTCCACGCATAGTGGCTGTCGCTGCCTCGAGTTTTTTGATGGACGGCATCTCAGAAACGTTTAGAGATAGTCTTCTGAAATGGTCATAAGTCGTCGTAACGCATGCCTGAAAGACGTTTAAGACCATCCGTTTTATTCTCATTCCACGCATAGGAGCTGTAGCTACCTCGAGTTTTTTTAAGGACGACCGGTAAGAAACTGTGAGAGATACGATTCTGAAATGGTCAGAAATCGTCGTATCGCATGTTTTAAATAAGTTTTCGACCATCCATTTTATTCTCATTGAACGCATAGAGTCAGTAGCTGCCTCGAGTTCCTTGGTGGACGGCTAAAGATAGGCTTCGGAAAATATCAGCAATTGTCGTATCGCACGCCTTTAAGAAGATTTGTACCACCCACTTTGTTGTCCTTTAACGCATTGAAGCTGTACCTACCTCGTGGCTTTGGTTGACTTAGAAACGGTTAAGGATTGGCTTCGGAAAATGAAATGTGTCGTCGTATCGCATGCTTTAGAAGCGATTTATACCATCCATGTTAACACCCTTACACTCATAGAGGCTGCAGCTACCTCGAGATCGTTGGTGACCCACCGCTCAGAGATGGTTAGAAATGGGTTTCTGAAAATGTTATAAATTGTCGTATCGCTAGCTTTGAAGACGAATTAGACCACCGAATTTGTTCTTCTTCAATGGATAGAGGCTGCTGCTACCTTGAGTTTTTTATTGAACTACCGCTGTGAGACGGTTGGAGATGGGTTTCTGAAAATGTCATAAATCGTCGTATCGCTTTGAAGACGACTTTGGTCATCCATTTTATTCTCCTAACACGCATAGTGACTGTAGTGACCTGGAGTATATTTATAGCCTACCCCGGATAGGAATAGGCTTCGGAAAATGTCATCAATCGTCGTATCGCACGCTCTTAAGACGATTAAACCACTATTTTATTGTTTTCAACGCATTGAAGCTGTACATATCTCGAGAATTTGGTGGACTACCGCTCTGAATCAGTTACAGATAGGCTCCTGAAAATGTCATAAATCATCGTATCTCATGCATTAAGGACGATTTAAGCCACCCATTTTATTCTCCTACCACGCATAGTGGCTGTAACGACTTGGAGTTTATTGGTGGACAAACGTTCAGAAACGGTTAGGAATAGGCTTCGGAAAATGTCATCAATCGTCGCGTCGCACGCTTTTAAGACGATTTAGATGCCCCATATTCTTCTCCTTCAACGCATAGAAGTTGTAGCTACCTCGAGAGTTTGGAATCAGAATCGGCTAGAGATAGTCTTCTGAAAAGGTCATTATTCGCCGTATCGCATCCTTTAGAGACGATTTAGACCATCTATTTTATTCTCCTACCAGGCAGAGACGTTTTAGTTTTTCTTGTGAACTTCTGCTCGGAAAAGGTTATATTGGCTTCTGAAAATGTCATTAATCGTCGTATCGCAGGCTTTAATGATGGTTAAGACCATTAATTTTATTCTCCTTCCAGACATAGGGGCTGTAGCTCCCTCGAGTTTTTTGGTAGACTACCGTTCAGAAACGGTTAGAGATAAGCTCCTGAAAATGCCATAAATCGTCGTATCGTATGCTCTAAAGACGATTGGGTTATCTATTTCATAGTTCTTCCACGCATAGAGACAGACTACCTCGAGTTTACTGGCGGACTGCCCCTCAGAGGCGGTTAGGGTTAGGGATCTGGAAATGTCATTAATCGTCGTATCGCATGCATTTAAGACAATTTGCATGCAGATCCTCAATTCGTTTTCTCAAACTTTGGTCTCAGGTATTGACCACAGAATCTCTTGAGGGATATAATAAGAATATGCATTCAATGTATGATATGTCACAAATGGAAGCTCAAAACTCATCAATAGATCATGGTCAATGGATTTGTTGCATGTTGGCCATTTCCCAAATGCGGAATGGATTTTGGGGGCCCCTATTTATTAAAATCGTCAAGCTTAAATCGCTCAAAAATTGGGAAATGTTACATAGCAATGTTTGTGTGCATGACAACGAAGACCATATACATGGAGTTAAAGAAATGCAAAAAGCCCCATATAACTTCTTGTCTTCAACGGAGATAAATTGGAAGTTTATTCCACATCAATCGCCACATTGGGCTGGGTTTTAGGAGGCGGCTATTAAAAGCAGTATCTGCTGAAACGGCTAGTTGAAGATAAACATTTTACATTTGATTAGTTATACATTATTTTAGCTCAAGTTGAATTTCTTTTAATTGAAGACCGCTACAATCATTATTTCATCCAATATATCTTGTTTAACTCCAGGACACTTCCTTATATGGACTTCGTTGACCTCTTACTCTGAACCACATATCTCAGATACCTCTGAAAACAGATTAGATCGTTGCAGATATGCACTAAAGCACAAATCAGTTTTGGTGCAGGTGGTCAAAAGAGTACCTAAATCTCCTGCAACAAACCCACTTGCTCCTAGTCTTAAGATAAATGACATTGTTATCTTAAAGGAAGAGAACGCTAAGCCTCTAGAATGCTTACTGGCTAGAATGGCATCTAAATAAGAACGTGGCCAAATTGTGTCCCTTGCTTTCTTAAAGGCTTATTGTCAAGCAACTGTAGGTAACTTTGTAAATTTTTAATGTTATTTCGTTAGTGTAAAGTTTACTGTGATTAATTTCTAGTTTTGTTCTCACGTTTACATTTAGTAAATAAATATTCAATTTCATGACGAGTGGATGCTTTACTACGTTAAAGGTAGAATCTTAATGTTGCATAATAGAAAATATATAACATCCAATTATTACTTCTGTTTGTAACCATCTTTTGGTCGGCTATGTTTTCGAGGATTCGGCATCCCGTTCAAGTTCGAGTTCGCCTGATCATTGACAATTGTGATAAGGAAGTCGCCTTTCCTATGTGCTTTTTGCATGTGTTCTTCTTTTGCTTGGTATTGATTTTATTTTCAGATATATAGTTCCAGACGAGCGATTGAACACTCTCGTTTTGTTACACTAGCATAACTTGTCGATTAGCCACATCTATATATAATTTTGCTTTGTTAATTTCTTACCGCTATTCTACGTTTTAGAATTTTTATTGTGTTAATGTTACTAATAAGGGTTAATAATAAAGAAGTTATCGCTCTCGAAACCTACCCAAAAAAGTCAATCCTCTATTACACTCAACACCTACACAAAGAGAAAATTCTCTGAATTATGTAGGTACGGATGTTCATTTCTGTCTTTTACATATTCATTCGGCGCTAGGTATAGTCGAGGTATAAATGTTGAGTCGTGTGTCATAGCCTACTACCTAATAATTGGACACAATTGAAAGTTTTATAAACTCTGAAGTTCTAAGCTTGTTTTTGAAACTAATTGTAAACACACATTATGCTTAACAATATACGTCACTGGATATACAGCAAAAAATTTATAGGAATAAATCCTCCATATTTAATAATCAGGGAGATATCCCCAAAAAGTGCCGGAAGTGGGATAACCCATACAGTCAGTAATCGTATTGTTCACATTCCCATTATAGTGAATAAATTTATTAATTCTTAGGAATGATGGGTAAGTTGTAGATGCTTTGAATTCGGACATTATAACACAAAAATTTATGTAGTATTGATTTTACAAATAATATACGCAGTTATATAGGGTAAGTTGGTAGAAATATTAGGAAAACTACTCTTCTTCCATTGTACGATCTAGTGAATCAGGGCTTTGGAATATTTGTACAGTTTCAGAGTCATTTAGCAAAGGAGATACATCATCTGAAGAAGAAAACTTTATGACATCTTCACTAGGTTGATTTTGCAGAATTGTTAATTCTTTAGTGGAATTCATATCGTCGACACAATTACTTTTCTCAATATTATATTTGCATACCAGCTGTTTGAACATCTTTGAAGAAGCAGCAATGTTTCTTGGGAATCCTCGTAAATTTTCGAAAGGTGAATGTGAAAACTGGGTAGTAACCTAAAAGTAACAGCTGTTTAATAAAGGTTTCCCGATACAACCACCATAAAATTGTTTATTTACTTCAGCTTAATTAGTAATTAAAAAATAATATTTTAAGCTGTTTTTCTCGTTTGAAAAAAGAATACAATAGAAATACTCACACTATTTTATTGAATATCAAAATTAGTAATATAAAATAAATGAAAAGAATAAATTTTTAACATAGTTCATAGTTTCTGAAAAATTAATCCCAGTCCTCATATATAATAGTACTTAATATGCCTTCTTCTCTTGTGGACATGTTACCGAATTAGCATCATCTACTTTAAACCTCTTGATGAGCCTCTCAGTGTAAGCAGATTTATTTAAAAATATGGATCAGTCAACCATTCTTTCTATTTACAGTCCCAGAAAAGTATTTGCATCATCATGTTGTTTTAAATTCTTCTTGAACTTTCAGCAGAAATTGTTCCAGCAGTTCATTGCTGTTACTTGCAGACAAGCCATCATCCACATAAACTCCAATGGGCTTGTTCAGCATTTTTTTTTATTTCATAAATCGAAAGTACAAGTGAAAAATAATAGATCTGCAAAAAATTAGAAAATTATTCGCACGTTTACTGCGTCAAAAACAATTACAAATCTCAGTTTCTCGAGAAAGGGGTGTGGCTAAGCGTTACGTCACTATACGCGTAGACCCGGCGGCTATAGCCAATACTCGAACGTTAGACAGCTATAGGTACGCTGTTTTCAAATTATCATTTGTGTTATATACATACTGTTTGATTTAATATGAGTGCAAAAAAAAAGTGTTCATATAAATATTGCGTAGTTCCGGAATGCACAAATACAAGTCTAAATACTCCAGAAAAAGTATTTATTTGTTTGCCATCCGACCAAAACCTTAGAAGAGCATGGCAACGTGCAATGCGGAGATCTGATTTTGTATCCGAGAAAGGCACGAGATTTTGTTGTGAAGATCACTTTAAAGTATGTTTATTAAACAATATAAATCAACATTCTTTTTATAATATTTTTTTTAACAAATATAGGTTGAAGAGGACATAAAAAATTATCTTTATATAAAAACCATGAAATGTGGAAGAATAAAGCTTAAAGAAGCTGTCATTCCTAGTATTTTTGATTGTCAAAAGAAGCGGTCCGAGTTGCATACTCTTAAAACTAGATCATTGATATAGAAAANGTAATCTTAGCATATCTCATTTCTTGCCATACTTTACTTGTACCTTGCCCCCTAGTGACTTTTTCTACTTCTTTAATTAATTGTTCATCCATTTGTTTAGTGCAGAAGTCAATAAAATGTTCAATAGTTTTTGGAAAAGATGTTTTTCCAAAATGTAGTGATAGATGATAGTTAGAGAGGCTGGAATACTTATAGTAGGGGTAGTGATACCGTGTTATACTATTCTCAAGTTTGCGCTTTTTACTTTCTTGCACATATTCATTTAATAATGTGTCGTCATAACTGGTGGTTAATTTTTTCTTACTAAAATCAGCAGTAGAAATACACTTATTTGCTGACGATGCTGCCGATAATAACAACTTTTTCCAATAACAAGTTTTTTCTGTCGGTGAAGGATCTTCGTTACGACGATGCAGCCACATAACAAAAGCCACCGAATGCTTACAACCACCTTCGGAGGCGGCACAGTCGTTGCATTTTACATCTATAACAGTTTTATCAAAAGTATTTATAATACATTTCACATTATAATTTGCTGCTTTAATCTTATGTGCCGGCGTAATTTTTGCCTTTATTTCGCAAAGTTTATTTTGTTGTCTTAACTGAACATAACCGACAGCATTGTCCCCGTGGTTTTGTCTACCAGATCTGCAATACAAAGGACATATTATGCCTATCAACAGTTTCTATTATATAATTAGACAAAAACTTTTATTAAACAAATATATATAAATATATAAACGGTTTACATCTTATTGTACTATAGTCATTAGAAAATAATGTTAGTAACATTTTAATCTTTTGGTGTTTTCAAGATAATTTAATATAAAGTAATAATGTATTTAAGCAGTAGTAATTAATCAATAATCATTTAATTTTAGTAGTCTTAACATTTATAATATGTACTTACATATTTCTATAAAACACAAAAATTATATACTGTATAAATAACTTACCTTTAAAACTTGATTCCTTTCATTTCTGAGCTGACATACTCTTTATTTTTATTGAAATAGTCCATAATTATCAGTATGTCAACTTGGGGTAGATTACCAGAATCAGCTTTACTATATCCAACTTCAACTGAACACATTTTTTTAAAAAGTTAATAATAACAGTAAAATGCTAAAGCACAATACCAATGGCACCTCTCATCTGAGCAAACGTTAATGGTTGCAGTATACAACCGAGTCAAGAGTTGCGTATAGTGACGTCATGAGTGGCCACGTTGGGTTCGCTACTATTACAATTTTTGATCTCATATGTCGAAAACGGACATAGTTAACCGAATGAAATTTTACAGGTATAATGTGAATATTAATGTAAGCTTTATGCAAAGCTGGGACCCTCGTGCGTCCGGGGGGCGTGGGAGGCATTCTGGATGCGCGGCGAAAAGGAAGAGAGCAGTATGAATGACGACGGCGACGAACGAGAAGGGGCGCGAGAAGATGCCTAATTAAGTTAATTTCTATATTTGTTGGTTACCTTCCGAACTTTGTTTAAATAAATATATCCGTTAGTATTTCTTTGAGGAAGTGAGTTTTTATTAAGTACTACAGAAAAACGTTTAAAAATTACCAAAATTGAATTTCACGGAACAAGCCCATTACCGTAAAATTTTGTGTTTCTTACGAATTTGTAGTNCATTAAGTCCACCTTATGGTGCATTTTATTATAACAGGTTATTTCGCCAGCGGACATTTAACTACTTCTTACTTTTTCCTAAAGTTCTAAGATTAAATGTTAACGGTTGAAGGAAGTCTTTTATTCCATTCTCACCAAGGCTATTTTCAACTAAATAAAAGACACGTAAAACGACACAAAGCATTTTCATGTCGTATACAAAAATCTGGTAATTATTCTGACAAATATCAAGTTTGAATCTCTATCTTTCGCACGTTATTTATTTTTTAAACGTAATTGAGGCATTGGTTATTTAATTCTTGTAATCGCTGCTCCGTTTGTTTCTTTTAAAAATTCAAGAGCATACAATTGCTGACTTACTCTTACTAATGAGCCCACTGTGATCTGGAGCATTATAGAAAATTTGATAAACATTTTACTATTAGCAGGCTAATAACGTCATTTTGGTTTATATAAACCATGATTGTAGGGAATCCGAATAAAATTAATTAAAATATTGTCATTTACAATGTCTAAATATTTTTTTTTTCGTGGTAAGCATTATACTGACTTGATTTAAGTTTTCCCCAGAAAATTAGCTCTGTTGAACCCGGTATAACTTCATATGGTGAATTTTCAATTTTCCATGAATTATCGGAGACACGTATCTGTATTCAAATTTGAAGTGGCATTTTCATTTGCTCAGAATTCTCCAAGGATGTCATTGTTATCGTCGGAATCATCCTCTTGTACCATACTAACATTTGTTTTTCTTGCATCCAACATTGACGAAACTTCTATACAAACTAGAGTGGTCCGATGGCCCGAAACTGGAGACTTTTGGAGTGGAAACTTCAGAATAATACACACAGGATCGATGGAAGGTAATTCGGGGGTAGGATTCTAATGAGAAGGAAAGCAGTGCAAAGTGTAGAAAGTTATTTACAAAAAAGCAATAAATAGCTATGGTTAAATTAAACTCGAAGCTAGGAAAAGCGGTATTAATGCAGGGCTACATGCCTACATCATCTTAGAATGATGAAGATGTAGAAGCGGTTTATGCAGATATGGAAGACGTGTTAAGTAAAAAAGGGCACAAAAACCTAAAAGTTGTAGGATACTCCAACGCAGTAACAGCTGAAGATAAATAGAAATGACGAGAGACTGTTAAAATTTTGCGATAAACGTAACTGTCGTGAATACTTATTGAACCATCACGTGGAAGATGCCAGGTGATTTAGGGAGATATCAGTTAGATTACACACTTGTTAGGCAAAGATTTGAAAATCAAGTGAAGGACTATAGGAGTTATCCAGGAGAAGATATTGGCACCGATCATAACGTAATAGTTTTGAAGACCAACCTTAAATTGAAAATTATGAAAAATAGGGAAGGTAGGAGGCGTTTTGACTTAGAAAAGCTAAATTGTACAAGGACAGACAAAATACTAGAAGCGACAGGAGAAACGAATGTCAGGGACATAGAGACAGAATGGAACCGCTTTAAAACGTGCCTAATGCCAGCAGCTACAGATATACTAGATCTTAAACAAACCGAAAGTAGGAAACGCTGGATAACAAACGAGTTTGTAAGACTAATAGAAGAAAGGCGGAAATACGAAAACAGGACAGACGAAAAAGGACAAAAAAAATATATAAGGCTATAAAATAAGAAATAATTAGGAAGTGTAGGGCAGTTATGGAATAGTTGATAAGATCTAAAGAAGTAGAAAAAAGTTTGAAGCAGGCAAAACCGATGTGCCTGATAATATAAGAAACGAGGCAGGGTCATTTTGATAGATATTGAGGAAAAGACCTATAGGTACAGATAGAACCTATACTCGGGTATGAGTTAGGAGATATATTAGAGAAGGAAGATAGTGTTGAGATAGGGGAGCTAGGTTATACCATAATGAGAGCAGAGTTCGATGCAGCTTTAAAAATCTTATAGAATAATAAAGCGCCATGTACAGATGGGATACAGGGGGAAATTCTAATACATGCAGGACAAGAGGTTAAAGATCGTCTGTTTAAGCTAGTTGGTCACATTTACGAGACGGGGAAAGTCCCAGAGGATTATAAACGGAACGTGGTAGCAACCATACCTAAAAAGAGGGGCACGAATAGGTGCGAGACATTTGGAACAATTAGCTTAACTTCCCATGCGCTAAAAATCTGAACTAGAATTATGC